AAAAAAAAAAAAAAAAAAAAATCTACTTCATAACATTCATTATAAAGAATGACATAATGGCCTATGCATGTGAAAGCCATTTGTATACTATAAAATGTTAAATTAACTTAAGACACATGCATATTTTTAAACTACCTATGGAACTTTCAAACATATTTTACTTAAATTTTTTCATCTAAGTGCTTTCAAAATTTATTTAATTTTACCTTTTGATTTACCCGTTTATTTGTACTTGCATGCAAAATTTATTCTTCGTAGTCAGTTTCCTATTTTGACCCATGATAAATTTTATAGAGTAACTTTTTTTTTTAAAATAAATTTATTTATTTATTTTTGCTGTGTTGAGTCTTCGTTTCTGTGCAAGGGCTTTCTCTAGTTGTGGCAAGCGGAGGCCACTCTTCATCGCGGTGCACGGGCCTCTCACTATCACGGCCTCTCTTGTTGCGGAGCACAGGCTCCAGACACGCAGGCTCAGTAGTTGTGGCTCACGGGCCCAGTTGCTCCGCGGCATGTGGGATCCTCCCAGACCAGGGCTCGAACCTGTGTTCCCTGCATTAGCAGGCAGATTCTCAACCACTGCGCCACCAGGGAAGCCCCTAGAGTAACTTTTTATCTTTTAAATTACACAGCAAAATTCAACGGATATGAACAAGTCAACTTGAAATCCTCAAAAAGGATCAAAATGCGGACTTTCATTTTACTTTACTTTTACTTTATTTCACACAGATGATCATTTTGCAATAGAAAATATGGGTATGTGGAAAAAATTTGAAAGGATAACTAACAATCATTTTATATACTTCAATAACTGTTAATGACTTTTTAGTGGGTTTTTTTTTTTTGGCCTATTTTTGTCTTTTGAACCCTTACTGCTTAGCTAAATTACAGCATGCTAAACATAAATTTGTAGCCATATATTTATTATCAAATATTTGATACACGTTTTGAAGACTATACTAGAGAGAGACTATTTTATTTCAAATATCATTTTGCTAGCCATTAGTTAAAAGTGTCTACATGTTGCTGGACAGTAACTGAAAATGTAAGTCAAAAAATAATAGCTAAAACCTTTAAAATATCCTCAATGGTCTTCAAAAGTAACTTACAAGAGATTTAACAGAATGGAACTTACTCCATGCCCTGTGCAGTCTGCCGTGCAATATCTATAAGTTTGATCATCTCGAATTTGGTCTCAATGATGTGGAGATGATGATATAAGCTGGAGCCCTCACACCACTGGGTAACAATAGCCAGTTGTGGCTTTGTTGAATAACCCATGAAGAGTAGGATATTCACATGTCGAGTTTTCCTGTAAAAGAAATGTGACAGTAAATAGTAAATGTTTATAAACTTTAGCAAATGTTAAAAAAGAGGGCCGAAGCAGTCTACTTATTAATAAGATGTTGTCAGAAAAAGGTATTTTTAAAAAAGCCAACAGAAGGATAAATTTAGATGAGACTTTAGGAATTGTCTAGTCTAACATCCTACCCTTTTCATAAACATCTTTTTTAGTATACCTCATAGATAGGCAACTAGAGATTCCTTAAATACCTTCAATTATGGGAAGTTTATCACTGAGACTGTAGCCTGTTCCCACTACTATTTTTCTTTCTTTCTTTTTAAAATTTTTTTGGCTGTACTGCACGGCATGTGGGATCTTAGTTCCTCAAGCAGGGATCGAACCTGTGCCCCCTGCAGTGGAAGTTCGCAGTCCTAACCACTGGACCACCAGGAAAGTCCCCTCTTTTTTCTTTTAAAGTGGTTCTAGTATTAGTAAAATTTTAGGTTGAGAATAAATCATTTTCCTACAACTTCCGCCACAGGATTCCCTGTTCTGCTCTCTGCAATGAAACAGAGTAAGTTTATATCTTCTTGAACATAACAGCCTTCTATGGACCCAAATATTCTCAGTTCTGTTGACTATTTTCTCCCTAAGTTACAGTTCCAGAATCCTTCCCACCTAAGTTGTCCTTGCCTGGACATGTTCTAGTTTGTTAATTTTCAAGTTCCAGGGCTTGATACAATCTCTAAATGTGTTCTGATAAGCTTAGAATTTTGAGAGCATTGTCTCCATAAGTAGAAGGATTACTTCTCGTGATCAGAACACTATATTTCCATTAATTCACTCTAGGATTAATATTTCTATCAGCTGTACTATATATTATTGCATACCACTTAAAAGAATACAGTTAAAGACAAAATATACTCAGACAAACTTTGTTTTATTCATTTTAAGTAAGTCTGTAAAGCTAACAGTGGCTACCACTGGAAAACACAAGTTGATCAAGATAACTTCTCTGGAAAACGTGATTCACACAAGCTCACCTGAGTACTCCTACTTCATTTTTGAAGGCCTGTAACTGCTGAGGTGTGGGTGCTGTCACATTCAACATTTTCACTGCCACATCACCTAAAAGGTAATTGCCATTCCAAATGTCATTCCAATTTTTAAAATTTAAAAATATTCAAAAACCTAGGGTATTTTCACTAATTACCACGGCCTTAAAACTATACCATTATAAAACTGCAAATAAATTATACCTTAACTTCCTAAACTGCATAATTTTATAAGGATAAAAACTAAACTAACAATCATATTCCTATACTAGTATTTCGAAATACCAATCCAAAAAAAATAGCCAATCTCATTTTTCCCCTGGAAATTTAGTTTAACCAGTTAAACACCCATGATATTTTCCTAGTTATTTAACAAAACTAAATTAGACGCATTCACTTAACTGAATGTTAAAACTGCAGTAGACAGGCCCAATGGAACTTGGCTGAAATAGAAAACTGCAGACTTCTTTATCAGAGTATTTAACACCTTTTCAAATCCATGGATCACTTGTTGCTTTTTACTTAGGAAAATTATTAAAAAAACACAAAACTGCATGTGAAACAGGTACAATTCTTACATGTTGCCAAAGGGTGTATAAATTGTACAACCACTTGAAACACTGTTGGCAGTACCTACTACGGGCCCCACAATTCTTTCCTAGGTATATACCAACTAACTTGGACACGTGTTCACCAAACAACAGGTACTAAGAATACTCATAGAAGTAGCATCCATAATTGCCCCAAACTGGAAACTATTCAAATGCTCATCACACAGTAGACAGTCATGCTACAGTCACACAATGAACACTATATAGAGAATGAATAACCTACAACTACATACAATAATATAGATGAATCTTATAAACAATATTGAGTAAAAAGGACCAGATACAAAGGAGTACATCCTGTATTATTTCTGTTTAGGTCAGGACAGTGGTTACCCTTGGGGGCAGAGGGCATAAGGAAGACTTCTAGAGTGCTGGTAATGTTTTGTTTATTGAACACTGTGTTGACTTTGTGAAATTTTAGCTACTTGTACACTTATGTGTACTTTTTTGCATGTATATTTCAATATAATTAAACTTACTGATTTTTCCTGATTATCAAATAAAGTGCTTATAGTAAAAAGAAAATCAAACTTAAAATTAAAAAAATTAAACATTTTGAAAGCAAAAGGAATAAAATTAAAATCTCCCATAATCATGTCACTCTGAAATGACCACTGTTAACCTATTGATGTATACCCTACTAGGCTTTTATATGTATGCAGTATAAATATTTATAAATACATATGAAAAAGGCAACCTAAAAAGATATATACTAAAATACTGATGGTCATTTAAAAAATTATGTTATATATATTTATATGTAGCATCATAATATGAGATATTATACGTGCTGCTTTTTTTTTTTTTTTAATAATGTATTTATTTATTTTTTTATTATGGCTGTGTTGGGTCTTCGTTTCTGTGCATGGGCTTTCTCTAGTTGTGGCAAGTGGGGGCCACTCTTCATTGCGGTGCGCAGGCCTCTCACTATCGCGGCCTCTGTTGTTGCGGAGCACAGGCTCCAGACGCGCAGGCTCAGTAATTGTGGCTCACGGGCCCAGTTGCTCCATGGCATGTGGGATCTTCCCAGACCAGGGCTCGAACCTGTGTCCCCTGCATTGGCAGGCAGATTCTCAACCACTGCGCCACCAGGGAAGCCCACGTGCTGCTTTTAAAATATACTATGTACACTTTTCCATAAAATAGACATCTACCATACCATTTTAATTTCTATATAATCATATATGGAGGTTATCAATTTATTTATTCCTTCCTCTATTAATGAGCACTTAAGTTATTTCCATTTTTCATTAATATCAAATCTCTAATGAATAAACTTGCACACACATCTGTTTGTTCCTGTTCTACAAATGGAATTGTTGGCTCTATATACATATTGCCAAACTGCCCTCCAGAAAATTTATAGCAATTTATGTTTCTACCAGCAGCATTACAATCACAACTCTAAATATAATCAATTTTTAAAAAGCCCTTTGTCCATTTGATTATCTTTTCAAAGAAATATAAGTCATTTGGCATATAAGGCAATAATGATTTCTATTTTTTGAATTTGTAATTCTTTCACAACTAGTGAGACTGAACATTTTTTATATGTTTACTGCCCACTCTT